CCTTGAGCTGAAGAGCTGAGGGACAGCGCTCAGGCCCAGAGTTCAGGCCCCACAACCGGACCCAAAAAAAAAAAAAAGAATTAATGATTGTACATTCATCCATAGACTGGAATGCACAGAAATCCTTTTTATTTTTTTTAAATGAAGCAAACCAACCAGGACTCATCTATGTTGTGGGAAAAGACAATAACTTGAGCATCTGTATGCATATTTGAATCCACTTTTGTTTGAAACAGAATTTCTGGATCTCACCACAACTGACAGTTGAACAATATAACTGTTGTGATGTCAACCTACGCAATGTTCAGAAGCATCCTCAATCTCTGACCCCCTAGATGCCCAGCCTCACCTCTACAATCATAGCCAGCCTATATTCAGACATTGCCAGATGTCACCCTTCGTTGAGAATCACTGGTCTAAAAGACTAACATGTAGCCACTACTTTAGGTCTGAACACCATAGTCTGAAAGGATATACCCCAAGTTTTCTAACAATAGTTCCACTGGGAACCAGGAGAAAAGTGGTATAAGTGATATTCTCTCTTAGTTGCTTGATTTTAATTTACAAGTGTATATTTCTTCTGCAATTAAGTAGGAAACCTATCCTTCTTCCACTCCCATTCTCACACATGTGTGTTTATAAAAGAAGTATAGAAGAGCTTCTATCCAAGACTCTCTTAGCCTAGAGAGCCTTACCTGGGAAGGAAAGACCTTTGGGAGAACTCTGTGATAATCAGAGCTCATCAACTACCTGGAACTATATCCAAGACAACCTGAACTACATGGACAACATGTGGATCTGACTCCTTCTCCCCACTCCCCCCAGTTTTAAAATCAGTAGGGACCAGAGTCTTGTATTCTCTGCTTCAAGTCATTCATTTGAAAAAAGGAGTATCATAGCTAGCACCGGTGACTCATGCCTATAATCCTAGCTACTCAGGAGGTTGAGATCTGAGGATGGAAGTTTGAAGCCAGCCCAGGCAGTATTAACCACCAAAAAGCAGAAGTAGAAACATGGCTCAAGTGGTAGATCACCAACCTTGAGTGAGATAGCTAAGAAAGAGCATATTGGCCCTGAGTTTAAATTCTAGCACAGATGGGGGCTGGGGGGTGGGGAGGATGGGATGGGAAGGGGAAACAAAGGAGGAGGCTACAATGCTTGGTAAGAAATGTACACATTATCCTGCCCATGCAATTGTAACCCCTCTGTACAGTATGTTCACAAATAAAATAAAATTAAAAAAAAAAGAAATGTACTCATTACCTTGCTCATGTAATTGTAACCCCTCTGTACAGTATTTTCACAATAAAAAAAGAAAATAAAATAAATTCTAGCACAGAAACATTAGAACAGATCATCCATCAGATTTAGTGTTACAAAAATGGAAGGCCGAACTCTCATTAATATTGGATTCTGTGCTTTTAACTATTTTTAAAGTGCCTATTCTAATTTAGGTATTTCTGGGTGATCTCGGAATGCTTGCTTGGGTTTCTTCACAATTAAAAAAAAAATCTCTCCAGGGAAATTGTTCCAGTCCATTGATATCCTCATGAGGAAAGTAGCTAATCTATTTTCCCTCTTTTTTTAATTCTTCTTGACAGATTGCTTGTGGGGGGGGAGGGGACCAGCTAAGAGTTGTTCAGAAATTACAAGGTAAACTGCCACAGCTAGTTTTTGTGATGCATCCCCCACTGAGTTAGATCTCCTGCCAATTTTCCTAGTGGGGAAAAGAAACCTGAATCTCATAGACAATAATAAGCATTCAGCCACCCTCCCCCTACCCAATGCTAGCAAATGACACATAAGTTATCCAGGAATGTGGGGGGGGTTATATTTTGAAAACTGGCAAAGAAAAATTATTTTGCCCATTTACGCTTGAAGGTCCTATGCTGTTGTTGCTATTTTTTGTTTGCTTGTTGATTTTTTTGCAGTACTAGGGACTAAAAAGTCTACCATGGAACTACGTACATCCCAAGTTTATGTTTGTGTTTTAAAGTGATTGGAGATACTTTGTGAACCAAGCTATGGATCAATGCAAAATGCCTTTTCTTGTCTGTGCTGGTTCTAGGGCTTGAACTTGGAACCCTGCACTCTTGCTTTGCTTTTTTGCTCAAGGCTGGCACTCTACCACTTGAGCCTGACCACCACCATCACCCTCACCCCCACCCTACCCCACCCCACCCCACCCCCGCCACTTCCAGCTTTTTTCTGGTTAAAGCCTCTTGGATTTATCTTCCCAGTATGGCTTTGAACCACAGTTCTCAGATCTCAGCCTCTTGAGTAGCTAGGATTACAAGTATGAGCCATCAGTGTCTAGCTAAAATGCCTTATTTCACATTTTTTCTCATTTTTCTTAGTAGGATATTTTTGCTGAAAAGCTCACTTTTACTCACAAACTACCTGTACATATTGTAGTTCTGGATAATTCTGAACAATTTATTTTTCTCTCCTAATCTGAAAGTTTCTGAAAGGCATAAGGGCCTGTGTAGTGATGTTTTAATTCTTTCCAATTTTATTTTTGTTGATCAAAGCCCTACTATTATGCAGTTAGCTCATCAAGAACTAAACCTTCCCTTGTGTTGTTTGCTGTCCAAATCTAAAGGGGCAAGCTCTGTATTTGCTCTTGTCTAGAATCACCAATTTACAAATTCTTGAAACAAAGAGGAAGCCACATTTGTGCAGTCTGCCTTATACTCCAAACAGCAGACTCAAATGAGGAAGGGACCATAAAGCATCATCTTTCTGTGTCTCTCAGTCACACATGAGGAATCTGTGCCAAGCCAGAGAGATCTTTCCTCTCTGTTTCTGGGCCTGCTACAAGAGTCTGTATCTGTTATTCTGTCTGGAACTGCTGATGGAAATGCATCACCCACCTGCACAGAAAGCTGAGGTTCCTGGATTCATGACACCTTCCTCCCCCAGGGCAGCCTTGGCTGATGATTAAAGTTCCCTAGGAATAGAACTGACTGTCCAGCTCTTATGCCTAATTGACATGAAAGCTCTCATGACTTCTGAATAATGGAACTGGGATTTTTTTTTGCCTCCTGGTATGACACCTTTACCTAGCATCTTTCTCTTCCTAGGGCAGTTATCCTTACTCCCAAAGTCCTTTCTCTGGAAGCATGTCTTAGACCATGACCTTTGAACACATCCCCATCTCAGGCTCTGCTTTGGGGAACCCTGCCTGATACATTATCTCTCCCTAAAACCCTTCCCCCAAATGTTGATTCTTCTTGTTCTTCTTCACATCTCATTCCAGGTGGACAGTGGTAATCAGGGACTATTTTCAGTCTCAAAGTAGGACACCTGTCATGCATGGGAGGGGGTTGTGGTCATTAGCCTGAAGAAATTATTTCTGGCCATGGTGTTGAAGTTCCTCTTTGCTAGCAGCACAGTCCTCTGCAATGCACAGCTGAGCTGGACAATTGTAGGGTCACCATACGCGGTGGTTAGCACGTCCTTGGACAAAGGATGTACTCTGTCAGATGCATGTCTCAACTCAACAGGTTCCAGCTTCTCTCTTCTACGGCAAAGGCATGAATCTAACATCAAGAGGATTATGTGCTGCCTTTTCAAGAACACAACTTAGAAACTCCTGCAAGTTTTGAAATGAGTCATTTGTTTGAGTTATTTCTTGGTTTCTGCTTTTTGGATGACCCCAGGTTACTGAAGACTATAATTGATCTGTTTCTTTTTTTCTTTTCTTTCTTTTTTTTCTTTGTACTGGAGATTGAAATCAGAGCCTCAGTCTGTCATTTGAGCCATGCTCCTCCAGTCCTTTTGCTTTTAGCTTGGTGAGTTGTTTCCCCCTCCCATGTTTTTTTCATACTTTTGCTCTAGCTGGTCTTGAACCATGATCCTCCTACATCTTCTTACCAAGAAACTAGAATTACAAGTGTAATCCAGTTGCTGCACCCAACTACTGCTCTGCGTTTAACTATGTCAAGAACTAGAGAACTGGGTGACTCCATGCGCCTATCAAGAAAATGGGTTAGCTAAATGTAATGACACATGCTAGCAATCCCAGCCCTCAGGAGGCTAAGGGAGTAAGATTCTGAGTTCAAGGCTAGCCTTTGCTACATAGTGAGAGCCTGTATCAAAACAATAACAGAAAAAGATATGACCCAGATGCTGAGTGTCTTTTGATCTGTAGTAAAGCATGAGAAAAAAAGGAGATAAGGCTCAAGTAAGAGGCTAGAGGAAAGATTTGAATGGTTACAAAACCAGGACTGCCGTAGAGACAGAGAGCTGTAGCACTGCACAGCTTAGAGAACGTTCTTTTACAACTCCTCTCCTGTCCCACCTCCACATCCTACTTTGTTCCAGGTGTGCTTAGGAAGTACTGAAGAAGTCTGGAGCTTGTTTCACCCATGCAAAGTAAGTTCCTTCAGAAAAAGACAAAGCAAGATATCCTCATTTCCTGCCTTGTCAATATGCTGAAGTCCTTCAATCAAGGTTGGTGGGTGGGTTTGCTTGTCACCCACCTGATTTCATCTCATATTTGCAGGATGGTCATGCCATTTGTCATCTAGTTCAGGATGCTCTGAGCATGAAAGAAGATGCCCTGAATAATTATGTCCAGAGAAAATGCATAACCCAACCTGTCATTGGGAAAGTGAAACTTAGGGTCACCCTACACATTTACCATGCTCAATACAGGGCTTCTGACGGTATAGTCACTTGTTAGAGTCCAAGAATGGTACCACAGGGCAACTCTAGCATCCAGATCTTAGGATGGACAGGGATTTTATGGTGGAAGCTCTCTACTATTGACTTTCTCCTAGTATTCTTGAACCCTAGATATTCTTTGACTGCATCTTTTTGAGAGTCATTTCTCATGGGAGGGCTGGAAATGGGAATGGCAAACACAGGTAGTTGAGGACAAGCTCACTCAGCCCTTCTAAGAGCACTCAAGGTGTGCCAAGATACCAAGAACCAGCAGCCTGCAAGCTGCCCCAGGACACCTCCCTTCCCCCCTTTGCCCCAATGAGCATACTCACCACTCTCACAGTGTTGTCCAGTGTAGCCAGCTAGACAGGCACACTTATAAGACCCGGTAGCATCAAGGAGGCACGTGCCATCATGGAAACAGGGGGAGGAGGAGCATGCTGGAAGAGAAGGTACCCCTCAGCATCACTAGCATGCTCCAAGCCAGGAGTCCCAACCAAAGTCTGTACTTCACTTCTTCCCCCCTTGTATTCCTTTTACTGAATTTGTGGTAGCTATTACTGGAGAATCTGAGAACTACACTCCTTAAATATCCAATGTTACTGATACTAATTGAGTATTTCTGAAGCTCCCAAAAGTTATGCTGGAGGGTATCTCCAATCTGAGAAGCAAAAGGTAAATGTGATAGAGGCATTGCACTGATTAAAAACAGCATCGTGTTGTGTGTCTCCTACAGGGGCTTTGGAAGCATCCTTGAATAGCTTTAGAGCACCATTTTTTGTTGTTTTCAGGAAAGCTCAGCACCCTGGTACTGAGAGACAGCCTCTAGAAGATGATCTTTGTGACATCATTAAGGGGATATTCAAGAATTTCCAAACAATGCTGGGCACTGGTGGCTCACATCTGTAATTCTAGTTTCTCAGGAGGCTGAGAACTGAGGTTTGTGGTTCAAAGGTGGCCTAGGCAGGAAAAGTCTGTGAGAGTCTTACCTCCAATTAACCACCAAAAAAGCTGAATGTGAAGCTGTTGGTTCAAATGGTAGAGCATTAGCCTTGAGCAAAAAAAGCCCAGGGACAATGCCCAGGCCCTGGTTCAATCCCCAGGACCAGTCTACACACACACACACACACACACACACACACACACACACACACACACACACACACGAATCCCCAAATATCTTTTCTGCAAATGTTAGCCCTTGTGATGTTTCTGTGTATTTAACTAAATAAATATGGGTTGGCTGACTTAATGCCCAGATATAATGGTAATAAACCAGATTTCTTCCCTGTAGAAGCTTTCAGTTTAACGCTCTACTATGTACTGTCAAACTGCAAGAATGCACTGAATATTTGGTCTTTTCTATTGGACCTCAGGACCTGCAGTTGACAGACAAAGCATCTTAGGGATCGTTTTTCAAGTCCACTGGGAAACACGGCTGTGTGTTACCCACCATTCCTACATTCATGGATGCCAGTACAAAAATAAATACCTTGGCTCAGTTCAACAAGTCCATATTGTTCTATGGAAGGTTCTGATGTGATTCAAAGATAAACAGGACATTCTAGTTACTGGATCAAAGCCATGCAAAACAGAAGTATGCAACATTTCTAACCCAAAGCATCATGAAATATTTGTCTTATGAAAAGAGAAGAAATGGCTTTAAAAAATACCCATCAGGTGCTGGTGGCTCATGCCTATAATCCTAGCTACTCAGGAGGCTAAGCTTTTTGGATTGAAGCTCAAAGCCAGTCCAGGCCATGGGGTACAATGTGGGATGAGGCCAGTTACACAGCTGTCAGGAAGAGCCACCATTTAGTGTCTGGGTCCCATCCTCAGGGAGGGGACTTAGAGTGAAGGGGGTTTTGAAGGAATTCTGTTCTCTAGCTATCACTGAGATGTACATCAGACCATCCTAAGGAGCATTCATCATCACAGTGCCATTGAACATTAGTTTTTATTATTCAGTATTTTTTTAAACTGACCTTCCAGCTAGAGCTTATTTTATATGTGAACCTCATAATACTGAGAGCTTGGGGGATTTCTTAGAACTGAGTCAAATCTTACCTCCAAAAGGCCAATAAAGAGTTAAAAGTCAAGCAGGGAGTCACTCATTAAGTGAATGACATTGGGAATTTATATCTGGATCGGATGGCTGTGGAGTGCTTACTGTGTGCTACTCTGTGCTGGCCACTACATTCATCTTGTTTTCCAGGGTGTCCTTAAACAACCACATCTCTCATAACTTAGGAAAACTGAAACCTAAAGAGGCTGAAGACTATTCCCGGGAGCCATACTGCTTGATCTGCCAAGGATCCAAAGCCAATATTCTCTTCCCCCCATTTCATTCTTTTTAAATTATAATTTTATTATCTTTATGTAGTTATACAAAGGGATTTCAATTCAACATGTCCGTGTATGAGTACAATGCACCCTTTTTATTATTCTCCTCTATCTTTCCCAACCCCACTAATCCCCTCGATTTTCCTAGTTCCATTTTTACATATATACATTGAGCTGTATGGCTGGCTGCATTCTCTTCGACGTCCTCTATTCATTAGCCTCCTCCCCTCCTCTTAGCCCTCCTCTCTAACACTTCATGTACCAGCTTCTCAGTGTTCATTTTATTAGGCTGTAAGTTTGTTGTTCAAAGGACTTACACCATTGGAATCCTCTCCTGCGTACACTATATTTCAATTAATCTGTATGTACATATGCATCTGACCCTGTTGATGTCTTTGTATGTATTTATAAATTAGATCTAGCTTCCAATATGAGAGAACACATGCATTCATACTTCACTCAACATAATTTCTTCTAGGTTCCTCCATTTCTTTGCAAATGATGCACTATCATCCTTCCTGACCAAACCCAAAGCCCCTTCCTGTGTGTTGTTCTATCACCAAACTGCTTGTATACAAACCTCTGCCTCCATCTGTATAGCTATGTGACCTTGCCCACTGGGCCTAGCCTCTCTGCGTTCCAGATGTCCCTGTGTAGAAAGAGGTGATCACTTCTAGCTGTGGTTGTGGGGAAGCTTTTCTTAAAAAGTGCCTTGCCATCCGTCGCTTTTACTTGCAGATTGCTTCCGAGAACCCAGCAGGCATGGTTTTAATTAGGCTGAGCTGGGACAAAGGCAGTTATATAGGAAAGAGATTTTACGAACAAGCTGCTATATTTGTCTCTGAGGCCTTTACCTGTGATCTCTTCAAAGACAGCGTGGAAACCATCAAAATTCTTGGAGCCATCAGAGTGGAAGAGGACGTGGAGGGAGGAGCCGGTGCTCCTGATGGGGGCTGGCCTCTCGTTGCCACAGAAACGCTTGATTATCGGGCTGTCCCTGTGGTCCCCATCTCGGATCTCCACATAGTCATACTGGCACATGTAGTCAAACTCCAGGCTCAACATGCTAAACCTGCCAGGGGAAGGAGAGATAGAACTAGATACTAGACCTTTGGCCATCCCAAAAGCCCATCATAGAAATGAACTGTGATTCAGAAGACAGGTAATTAAGAGACACTGAAAACTAAGGTAATTCTCGAGAGAGCTAAGTGTATGGATAAATGACACCCAGACATAAGTATAAAAAAGACCAAGTGGGATTAGTTTCCAACACAATGTAGTCAAGGAAGAGAAGGTCTGATGTCTGAGAAGAGATTTAAATAGTGCAACAGAAGCAGAGGCAATCGCAGGTCATGGGTAAGCATGGTCCAGGCATGGCGGGGGGGGATCTGTAATTGCAAAGGTCCTGAGGCAGTAATGGGCTTGTTATGGTTGAGGAACTGAAAGGAAGTTAAGGATCTTGCAAAGCTGAGGGTGAAAAGGAGAGCAGTGTGAACTGAGGTCAGTTGTGTGGAACTGAAGTTAGATCCCACCGGGAGGGAACTTCCTATCTTACTGCAAGTCAAATAGGAAGGCACTGGAGAGCCTCAGCATGAGGAATATGACTCTGGGAAGGATCATTCTAGTAGCTCTGAAGGGAGAAAACTGTAAAGCTAGTAAGAGGAGAAGCAGGGAAGCCAGTCAGGAGCCAGAAGAAATGATGACAGTCTGAGGGAGATTCATGGCCGTGAGGACAAAGGCAGAGGCTAGCCTTAAGACTATTTTAGCAACTGCCTTATTACCCCTCATAAACAGTCTGTGGTTCTGCCCTTGGTCCTTGAGCCAGACTTTCTCCAAGAAAGCCCATTCCTGAGCCTTACTTTCAGCCTCAGACCTACGTGGGGTGGGGACAGCAGTTTCTAAGTCTGATTTTGATGAGGAGCGTTGAGCAGAGGACCTGTTCTGCTAGATCCTTCTGAGTTAGGTTACTGTGTTGCCGCTTCTTAGATACCAGAGAGACATCCAAGAGTCCAGATAGCATGTGGTGACCTTAGGGTACATGGATCTACCCAGAAAATGCTTGTGCCCACTGGTGGATCAGAAACTTCAAGCACCTCCATTCTTGGAAAAGGACAATGTCCCTAGAAATCCTAGGGGTTAATGGAACCACACTATTCCTCAGAAGAGGAAAAAAGAGCAGTGTTTTCCAGGAGAGGAAAAACACACCAGAGGGAGGAACTGAGTGTTTGTGATTCACCTTGGCTCATCCGGAACCAGGACCACCGCCCTTCCCAACTCATCATGGAAGTCCTTATAACCTGACCCCAGTCCCTTACCTTAGTTGGATGATAAAGCCAGGCTTGGCATGAATGGTCCATTCACAATGAGCATTTAAGGGGTAGCTCTCCAACATAATCTGACCCTTGGAAGCTCGAAGCACCTGGCCACATCCTGTGAAGAGAAGAAAGATGGGACCTGGAGAAGCAGGATCAACACAAAAGACACACAAGAGAAAAGATCCTTGGAACTCATACCATGTCCCTGGGAACACAACAAAGGAGGAAAAGGAGAAGGAAATGTATCTTTCTCAAGCACCTGGCAAGGTGCTAGGTAATTTGCATAAATGCATTCATTTCCGTCACCCAATAGCTTGGGAAGGGGTGGTATGTATCATCCCTGTTTTCCTTCTGGGAAAAACAGGAAATCAAAGACATGACTAAATAACTTGTGTAGTCCCAGGGAGGCAGAATAGTTTCAAACCTAAGAAATCTGTCACCCAATCTCTCCAAGACCCCACAGACAGCCTCCATTTTAAAAAGCTCTGAAAACAGACTCCCCTTATAGGACTCTTCTCTCCTCTCATCTACTTAGAAAATGCACTCATCTTTTCTGTGACCCATGATATATTTGTTCTGTGACCCATCATATAACAAATCCCTCTTTTTTATTTTTTTCTTTTCTTTCCTTCCTTCCTTGCTTCCTTTCTTTCTTTCTTTCTTTTTTCAGTTGGTCGTGGGGCTTGAACTCTGGGCCTGGGTACTGTCCTCAGCTCTTCAACTCAAGGCTAGAGCTCTTCCACTTGAGCCACAGCACCACTTCCTGTTTTCTGGTGGTTTATTGGAGATAAGAGTCTCACAGATTTTGATGCTTTGAACCATGATCCTCAGATCTCAGCCTCCTAAGTAGCTAGGATTACAGGCATGAGCCACTGGCACCCAGCAACAAATCCCCCTTTAACACATGACACTAGAAGGGAGAAAGAAATGCTCTCCCACTAACTACACTGGCTGGATAGTTTTCAGACTTTTTCTTTTTTTTATTGTTAAAATACCATACAGAGGGGTTACAATTACATGGGCAAGATAATGAGTACATTTCTTATCATGCATTGTTGCCTCTTCCTTTGTTTCCCCTTCCCATCCCTTCCCAACTCCCCTCCTCCCCCCATCTCCCCTTCCCTCCCCTGCCAAAGTTGTAAAGTTCGTTTTTTGACAGTTTGTACATCTCGTTGTTGCAATGGGTCCACCTGTATCCCTATTTAAACAATTAGTTTTTTTCCTTCCCCTCCACAAATTATACCAACATCAAATACAGTGAAAGCAGGGGTTATACCGTGGGGGAGGGACATACAAAGCAAGAAAGAAATCATCTTATAAATATGTTAGAAACAATTGCATGAAAGCAAAAATATTTGCTCTTTGTGGTCAAATTCTTTAAAGACCTCTATTGAAAAATAATTGTGGAAAACTTGGATCACAGAGATTCTAAGCCCTCCATCCTCACTCTCTCTTCAGATTCTTTTGAGTTATAGCCAAAGGAATTCCTAAGCTTTAAAAAACCACTACAGAGGGGCTGGGAAGGTACCTTGCATGCATGAGGCCCTGGGTTCGATTCCTCAGCACCACATAAACAGAAAAAAAAAACAGAAGTGGCACTGGGGCTCAAGTGGGGGCTCAAGTGGTAGAGTGCTAGCCTTGAGCTGAAGAGCTGAGGGACAGCGCCTAGGCCCAGAGTTCAGGCCCCATGACTGACAAAAAGTAAAGAAAAGAAAAAAACATACTAGAGAAAGCTGGTGACTTAGATTGTATTTTCTAGAGTCAAGAGACACTCTATGGGCACTCTATATTTACCTAGGTGAGAATGTGAGGAAAATATCTCAATTATAGAGAAAAAGCTATTAGGATCATGTAAATAAATAGTATTCACCTCCTGGGTAGGCACATATTACCTACTCCTATTTTTTGTTGAAAAATTTTGTTGGGTTGGGGTTGGTGGCACATCAACCAAGGATACAGGAAGATCATGGGCTTCAGGCCAGCTTGGATAATAGAGTAAACTTCTGTCTTAAAAAAAAGTTTTGCCAGTCACTGGTGGCTAATGCCTGTAATCCTAGCTACTCAGGAGGCTGAGATCTGAGGATGGCCTTTTAAAGCCAGCCCGGGTAGAAATGTCCCCATGAGATTCATCTCCAATTAACCACTCAAAAACTGGAAGTGACACTGTGGCTCAAAGTAGTAGAGTGCTAGGCCTTGAGCAAAGAACTCAGGGACAAATGAGGGAAACTAGCCTGTGTTTCTTTGGGTCTGGCTTGCTCTGCTTAATATAACTTTTTCCAAGCTTTCTATTTCCTTACAAATGGGGCAATGTCATCTTTTCTGATGGAAGCATAGAATTCCATTGTGTATAAATACTACATTTTTTGATCCATTCATCTACTGAAGAGCATCTGAGTTGGTTCCATATCTTAGCTATGGAAAATAATGCTGTAATGAACATGGTTGTGCTGGTAGGTTTAGTGTGGTCTTGATTGCAGTCAATTAGATAAATGCTCAGAAGTGGGATTGCTGGGTCATAGAGGACCTCTATGCTTAGTCTTTTGAGGAGCCTCCATACTGTTTTTCAGAGTGGTTGAACATTCCACCAACAGTGTAGTAGCATTCCCTTTTGGCCATATCCCCACCAACATCTGTTATTTTTAGTTTTCTTGATAATGGCCATTGTAACCAGGGTGAGGTGGAATCTCAATGTTGTCAGTAATAACCAGAATATGTCTATGATATCCTTAGCAGAGGATCACAATAGCTCAATATCTAGGTGCATATGATCTTATAAAATTTACTCCAAGAACCAGGTGCTGGTGGCTCACGCCTATAATCCTAGCTACTCAGGAGGCTGAGATCTGGGGATCACGGTTCAAAGCCAGCCTGGGCAGAAAAAGTCTGTGAGACTCTTATCTCCAGTAAACCACTCAGAAAACCAGAAGTGGTGCTATGGCTCAAGTGGTAGGGTGTTAGCCTTGAGCTGAAGAACTGAGGGACAGCACTCAGGCCCAGAGTTCAAGTCCCCCAAAAAAATTAACTCCAAGAAATGGAAAAGAGGTTTTTATAATGTGCTGTTTGCAGTTATTTTTTCTCTTTCTATTTTTCCCATTTGGCATATGCCCTGTTGTCACTGTTTTTTTTTATTTCTGTACCCTTGTCTTGTATATAAGTTTATCTGATTTGCAGAAGAGAGGGGGAATCACAGAAATGGCTGGACAAAGGATGAACCAATGCAACAGTGATACTCACTAGACACTATGTTGGAAATGAACTATACAACTTCAGGGGAAGGGGAGTTGGGGGGGAAGTGGGAGAAAATGAGAAAGAAGGTAACACTGTTCAAAAAGAATTTTACTCTTAAAAAAAAGGAATTATACTCCTTACCTTTATATAACTGTAACCCCTCTGTATGTCACCTTTACAATAAGAAAAAGAACAAGAAAAAAGAGCTCAGGGATAGCATCCAGGCCCTGAGTTCAAGTCCCACGACCGACAAAAAAAAATTATTTCTGGTCCAGAACATAACCATGCCCATTCATTTATATATCGATTGTTACTTTTGCTCCATATCAGCAGAGTCTCTTGTGATGAATCTCTAATGTCTTTTGTGAGAAGAGACACTAGGGCCTTTGGAAATAAAAAGATTTGCTCTCTACATACTTAAAGGAAAAATGTTTATCCTTTCAGCATTCTGCACAGAAATCAAGACCAACATCATAAACCTAGATATGCAGTTATATTTCAGAAGCCCTCTGAAAAGCATAAAATCCTCCCATAGCTAAAAAGAAAAATATTAATATCTATACACACTGCCCTCATGACAAGATGATGGTGGAAATATAGTCAGGAAAAGAGCTGACAAGCTGTGTGGCCCAAGGCTTAGAACTTTTTGTGCAAAACTACTGTTAGGTTGTGCAAAACAATCCTTTAGTGTGAGCTGAATTACTGCTATGCTGTTCCACACTCAAATAGCTTCACTGTTTCTCTCTCTCTCTCTCTCTCTCTCTCTCTGTCTCTCTCTTTCTCCTCTCTCTCTTTTCTGTTCTCTCTCTGCAGCTCTTGCCCAACATCCCTCCTTGTAAATCTACCATGCCCCTGGTCTCCTTTGTCTACCCTCGAAACCTAGTATTCTTTTTTTCCACATAGTGGTTAACCCTGTGTTTATTTATTCGCCTTAACTAAATAAATGTCACAGTATTTCTTGATTCAACCTCCAGAGGCTGTCTCAGGTATGAGCATCTTCCCCATACATCACAGCCCTGCCCCCTGGCTACCCAGACAGACCCTCAGCCCAGTCTTGGTCCCAGCCACCTGCTTTGCTCTTTCTGCTCCATCCATGCCAGATGTCATTCTGGGCCCCACACTAGGCTTGAAATTTGTCTTACCCTTAACTTCAAAAGCTCATCTTCTTTCTTATCTCCATCCTTTAGGGATTCAGCTGTCATCATGAACATTTTTCTTACCCCTTTTTGGTAGAGCTGAGAATTTTCTAGCTTAAATACCTAGAGTGTTGCCTGGCATCTAATAGGTCTTCAATAAGTATTTGGTGAGTGGGTGAATGAATGATGGTAATATGATAAACCAGGCACTTTAGCTTAAAGGCTTGCAGAGTTTATTTCATTCCATCCTCATGCAAAATCTAGAGATATGTCATTTGTGTCCCTACTTTCGAGATGCAGAACACTGAGGAAGGAGGAAGGAGGTGACTTCCCCAAGCTCAGCTGCCTGGGTCAAAGGTTACAAAATCACTGTCCTCACTGCAACATCTAGGTTAAAAACTTCACAGAGCCAGGCACCACTGGTGGCTCATGCCTGTAATCCTAGCTACTCAGGAGGCTAAGATCTGAGGATCACGGTTCAAAGCCAGCCCGGGAAGGAAAGTCTGTAAGACTCTTATCTCCAATTAACCACCAGAAAACCAAAAGTGGCATTGTGGCTCAAGTGGTAGAGCACTCACCTTGAGCTGAAGAGCTCAGAAACAGCACCCAGAGCCAGAGTTCAAGCCCTATGACTGACAAAAAAAAACTAAACAAAATAATAAGAATAATAAACAAAAAAAAACCTCAGAGTCTCTTGAAATCTGGCTCTATCCTCACAGGCAGTCTTGGACAAGTTACTTCCCCTCCCAGA